ACTAGGCTCTCTGTCAAGATCTTTACCTCCACCAAGTCCTTAAGATTAGGGGATTGAGGAACCTCCACAAAGCTCGAAGGACATGCTCAGTAGAGATCACCATCGTATTCATGGTAGTTGGAGAGATAGTTGGCAACTTGTATCTGCTCAGTAGCCTAAAATGGAGTGACCATCGCTCATACCCAAGAATCAGTCAAAATTTTATTGATTTCTTAACATCGCCCAAACAACAAAAATGGTAAATTTTGTTCCAAGCTTGGATTTGGACGAATACAAGCATCATTGATCCTTCGATATAAGCCTACAACAAGGGAAGCTACGTTCAACACCACACCTCTGGAAACCAAGTAGGCGGATGGAGACAAATTTTCACCAAATCAAGACAACTTAAGCTACATTCAACACTACACCTCTGGCTATCTACCCAAAGTATTTCAAATCCTAGATCCAAATTGAAACGTAGGATTTTGAAAACTTTAGGGGGGGTCTTATAGACGGTCAAACTGTATTTTTCACTAAGGATCTAAGAAGTAAATACCTATGGGCTAAACACTTCAAATGGGCCCAAGGTCAAGCCCGAAACAAGCTACAGTGAAGGTCATCTGACGAATGAAGCAAACATCGCAAAACAACCTATGTCAACTTGACTCGACCAAGTCAAATACAAGTCAACATGTTCTAGACCGAGTCGAAAGGGGTTATTAGTTGACCACGCCTAGAGTCGAATTTTGTGTTAAATTTGAACTCACAAAACGAAGCTCGCCAAAAAACCCATGTCGACTCAACTCCACCAAATCAAGAGTGAGTCGACTCCATGCCAAGTCGAAAGGCGTCATCAGTCGGCCAAAGTCTAGAGTTGAATTCTGTGTCAAATTGTGTCAAATTTGAACTCATAGGTGAAGCTCGCCAACTAATAAACTTCACCCACATGGACCAAGTCATCCACATCTGAAGAATGCGCGTCCACGTCCGAAGCGACCTTCATCCACGTCTTCAGCGAACTTCGCCAAGTCTGCAAAATTCACCCAGTTAGCCATTTAAGAGCTATTGTTAGGGATAACCACTCCTCACTAAATCATACTTTAATGGTAACTTAATCCATAATTAAGGAGATCGTTAACTCTCTCTTTTAGCATATAAAAGTAGAGGAAATTATCTACACACGGAGGGGAATGAAGAGAGAGAGACACGAGCGCGGACGCAGAGATACGTACATGCAAAGGCATACATTCACGATTCCATTGATAGATATTGCTAAGAGAAGACTGAGCTAACTTCCAAGCAATTCAATCCTCAATAGCAAAAGGACTCATCATCTTAGTCGGCGAGTCAACAAAGTACAAGATCAAAGGTCCACCGGTATATGGAAAAGAACCCTAGGAAAAATAAAATTTTCCTTCGTTTTATTGTATTTCTTTTAATTGTAATCTTTGTTAATTACAATTCAAAAGAACCCGAAAAAATCTAGTTTTTCATGATCAAAGTAAGCATATAAAGGTTGACTATCATTTTGTTCGCAAGCGGGTTGCTCATTGAGATTTAATTGTTCGATATCTTCCTACTCAACTACAGGTGGCCAATATCTTTACAAAAGGCTTGCCTACTCAAAGGTTTTTTCTTTTAAAATCCAATCTGTTGGCCTTCTTGTTTTGATGATGATTTAACAAATAATTTACATCTAATATTATTTGTCTAGTGTTTGTATTTTGTTATTTATTGTAGACAAACAATATGTTAGAGGATGGATGGAATTGCGCATTCACGATCATATCAAATTGAGGTTGGCGGAATAGTGGTTGAAGCCTACGCAATTCAAAGTTAAAGATTTAAGTTCTAGCTTCATCAGCAAGATTACTAAGTCAAGCTATTGAAGATCAAGATCAAGCTTGGGTAATTTAGTTTAGGTTTTATATTATATGTGTTAGTACCTTAAGCTCAATCATATATACACACACATTTTAGTTTTGGTTTCTATGTATATATATAGCTCAATCATATATACACACACATTTTAGTTTTGGTTTCTATGTATATATATAGTTATATATATACATACGTGATTTTTTAGTTTTCATGTTTATAAATATGAAATTATATTTTTCATATTTATTATTGTGTTTTGGTTTAGCTACATAGATATGAAACAACAAACAAATTTATTTATATTTTTATTTGTTTCATATTCTATTATGTTTCAGAATATATTGCATAGAATATGTAATTTTGTAAAAATATTATATTCTCAGGTTTTGGACTTAACAATAATCATATACATCTTTTATTAAGTCGACAAAATTATTTTATAATGTTTCAAAATATGGTTAAGCTAAAATGTCAAAACTCATGTGTTTACATTTTCATGTTTTGGACTATTTTATAAAATAATGATATTTTTTACTTAGGAGGTCCTTTCTAAAAACCGGTTTTTGTAGCATGTGTATTATTATGTCTACAATCATTTTCCAAAGTTTTACAATTTTTGGAATTTATTTGATCTTTTTAAACAGGGTTTTAAAATTAGAAAACTATTTATAAACTTGAATTTCATATGTCAGTTTGCGGTCGACCGCCACGGTCGACCGCCATTGTCGACCGCCACGGTCGACCGCCCATGAGTCCAGAGACTCAGTAAGTTTTTCAGAGGCTCGTGGTCAACCGTGGCGGTCGACCGGATGCAGTCCAGAGAATTTCGCGGTCGACCGCCACGGTCGACCGTCTGTTGTCCATAGCCAAACCCTGGTTTTTTTGTTGCTTGCGGTCGACCGCGAGTTTTCCACGGTCGACTGCCGATTTGATCGTTAGACTCCAACGACTATTTCCTGAGCTGTTTTTCAGGGGGCTTTTTGGTCTTTTCTGTTGGGTTTTTGGCTGAGATTTTAGGAGGCTATATATACCCCTTTGCTCTCATCTTTCATGGATAACCAAGAGAATGTTTTAAAACAAGTTTAAAGAGTTTTAAACAAAGGTTTAAGTTTGGTTTAAGTTTGTTTAAGAAGCTTTTAAATATTTAGAAGTTTGAGTTTGTGAAATCAATTTCACAAGAGCTTGAGGAGATCATCTATTGGTGTTTGGGCATTCAACTATTCTCCCTCTACCTCTTGATCTATTGAGAAGTTTTTTAAACTTTATTTCTAGCTTTACATCTATTTGTTAGATTATCATTTTATTAAAGCTAGTTTTATATTAAGTTTAGTTGATTTGATTTCACTCATTGTTTATACACACCCACTTGAGCTTATTGTATTTGCATACATTGTATATTTGGGTTGGTGAGAGTTGTAACAATTGAGTGTAAGCTTTCATTGTGTTCTCATCCATATTAACAATCATTTATTGTAATTATGCTTATTGTGAGATTTACTTTGTAATACACTTGTACACCAAGAGAAGTGTATGGTGAGAGTCGGGGATCGTCCCAAGAGGAGTGGCGTCGGTTGACAAACCTAGGGAGAGGTTGTATCCGAGCACTTGAGGGAGACACGTCTAGTTCCAACACTTGAGAGGATGTAGAGTGGGATTACAAGAGTGTTGATTGTAGAGTTTTCGGTAAACTAGAAAACCGTAGTGTGAGGTGTAAACGTTGTTCGGGTAAACGTAGAAAACCTGGTTGTGATAGTGGATATATATAAACTTATGTCAACTTAAGTGGACGTCCACTAAGTTTCTTAGTCATTGATGATCACTTGATTGAGCTACATTGTGGATGATCCGCTCCGTTGAACTTGATCTACATATTCTAAAACCCCAACACACCAAATTTGGGGTGAACCCGTCGTGGTTTGACCATTCATCCACTCATATCAATTTTAACGATTTCGAATGAATAGAACTTTTTACATTGCTCGACGGAGGGTCAAACCACGATGGGTTCACCTCAAATTTGGTGTGTTGGGGTTTTAGAATATGTAGATCAAGTTCAACGGAGCGGATCATCCACAATGTAGCTCAATCAAGTGATCATCAATGACTAAGAAACTTAGTGGACGTCCACTTAAGTTGACATAAGTTTTCTCTCTCTCTCTCTCTCTCTCTCTATATATAGAGAGAGAGAGATTAATGGGTATCCTTGTCATAGGAGGGGATTTCCTCCTTGACGCCTCTAAAATCACATGATTGAGCGACATTGTGGATGATCCGCTCTGTTGAACTTGATCTACATATTCTAAAACCCCAACACACCAATTTTGGGGTGAACCCGTCGTCGTTTGACCTTTCATCCACTCGTATCAATTTTAACGGTTTTGAATGAATAGAACTTTTCACATGGCTCGATGGAGGGTCAAACGGCGACGGATTCACCTCAAACTTGGTGTGTTGGGGTTTTAGAATATGTAGATCAAGTTTAACGGAGCGGATCATCCATAATGTCGCTCAATCATATGATTTTAGAGGCGTCAAGGAGGAAATCCACTCCTATGACAAGGATACCCATTAATCTCTCTCTCTATATACACACACACACACACACACACACACACACACACACACACACTGATATGGATATGAGTTTGTCTTCCCAAGGCGTCTCCATATTTGTATCCGTGATTAGTAAGCAGATTCAGGTATGGTAAGTATCATATGTGAGTTGTATCCAACCCATCTGCATACCTATTTGGACCAAAATGTAACTTATCCAAAATAAAAGGACACAAAAACTCAATGAGATCCTAATTTAACATAAACCAAAAGTTAAAAGATTATATTATTCACTATGGCACCCAAAGTTTATCAATTTTTTCACTTTGCTACACCAAAGTATTCTCATGAATTGCTCTCATTCCTATTTTACAATAGAAAAGATAAATCACAATCACATATCAAACAACCAATATCTAGAATTAAAGCAATGATCTCTTCTTCTTCTTCTTTTTTTAATATCAAAGTGAATTAAAGCTGAAGTTAAAACAAAAAAAATAGTGCTTACCCAAAAATTAAAAAAAAAAAAAAATCAGAAAATACTTGAAATTTGGGCTACACAAGTTTGGCAGCCCACAGGCCTGTTATCGATCTCTTCCTCGCTCGAAAACCTCTCAAATCCTAGAAACCTAGAGAGCGCTCGCTCTCTGACGAGCGAAGTCGCCATGCTCTCCTCCCTCCGCTCAATCCGCAAACTCTCCTCTTCGATTCGCCCTCTCCTTCACAATCATCATCCACTTTCTCTCTCCTCCAACAATCCCCTCCTCCGTAAATCTCTTCCCATTCTCCAGACCCACCAACATTTTCCCCTCTTCTCCTCTTCCTCCTCCTCCTCCTCTATCACACCATCATCATCCATCAATGGAGACGATGCCAGCACTGCCGCTAACTCAGCCGCCGCCGTTCCAATTCTACAAGAGGACAGCGAGCGGCCCATTGTTAGTTCCAGGCATACCGACGCCTATGCCGCCATTGAGCTCGCTTTGGATTCTGTTGTCAAGATCTTTACCGTCTCCAGCAGCCCCAACTACTTCCTCCCTTGGCAGAACAAATCTCAGAGGGACAGCATGGGTTCTGGTATTTCCAATTAATTCCATTCAAAATCTTAGCTTGCTATCGGAGTTTTGTTTATTGGAATGGGTTTTAGTAAATTTGATAGAGACCCACATGTCCTCTGAGGATCATTACTTCAAAGCTCCCTCCTTTTAATAAATTATTTGAAGGGAAAGCAATGGCTTTCGAATTAGCGGAACGGGTTTTTAGTAAATTCTAATAGAGACCCATACGATCTTTGAACAGCATTAATTCAAAAGATTCTCCTTTTAGTAAATATTTGAAGGGAGGCCAATGGATTTCAAATTATCAGAATGGTTTTTGTAAATTTAGTAGAGTACTATGTTCTGTGAGCAGCATTACTTCAGAACTCTCCTTTCAATAAGTATTTGAAGGGCTATCAAACCCTCTGGTTTTCTTCCTTTTATTTAGTAATTTCTTTAAAGTTTTTAACTTCTTCTCTCGTGTTTACAGTTTTTTTTTATTATATTGCTTTCTTCTGAAGTTTGTCATTTATAAAACTTATTGGTCTTAAAAGTATGATTTATTTTCCTATAGGTTTTGTGCTTAGTGGAAGGCGGATTTTAACAAATGCTCACGTTGTTGCTGATCATACCTTTGTTCTTGTTAGAAAGCATGGCTCGCCTACCAAGTACAGAGCACAGGTTCAAGCTGTTGGGCACGAATGTGACTTAGCTCTTCTTACGGTTGAAAATGAAGAATTTTGGGAAGGGATGACCTTTTTGGAGCTTGGTGATATTCCATTCTTACAGGAAGCTGTTGCTGTTGTTGGGTACCCTCAAGGTATGAATTCTTGTGATTTTTGAGTGGATGATATGTACTTCTTCTCTTGTACACTACTATGATTTCTTTTAAGTGAATCAAGGTGAATTAACAGGCATGTGAGTCCTTGACATCAAAAAATTTTCTTGCATAAGTGTTTGCTTTTTCTATTTTGAATTCTGTTATTCTTTACATTATTAATTGTTGTTCTTGTTGTTTTAATTTAGTTCTCACTTAGTAAATATTTGGAAAGAATTTGATAACAAAATTTACAAATTCTTGTGATGGATTTAATGAAAGAAAGTTTGCATACATCATTTTCTTGATTGCAAGTCGTAAGGTTAACCTTTATAAATAAACAAGTTTTTAAAGACATTTTTCAGAAATATCTTTTAAAAATTGATGCGTCAGATGATTATAATTCTGACAATTAAATTTATTGGTCTGAATCGTGATGGACTTTGGGTTAAATAAAAAGTTGGAAAGAGAGAGTATCTTGATAGGTGGCTTTGACAGAGTAATCATAATTTCTTAACATCACATGTATACTTATCTTGTAGAAAAATCCTTTCTTTCGGCCTTTCAGCTTTCGGTTGGGTATTGGTGACATGGATGACAAAGATGTATGCATATGAGGTATTATTAACAAGAAAACATTTGAAGGGTCAGAGTATGATGTAATTTCTACATGCTTCTGTGTAGTAAACTGTAATTTGATAATCAAAATATATGTATATCATACTGTGAGTTATTTCAACAGTAAAATATGTAAATATTCTTAAAATATTATTAGGTAGATTACAAATCTGCCTCAAAATTAGGGATGAAGTTTCTGGAAGTTGACCGACACGGGTCTTGGAGAGCTTTCACTATGTAAAGGGAAACCAACCATGTTTCCACGAGAAGTGCAATAGGCAGAATGATTGAGATCATACATTCTGATTGGGCAATAGTTATTTACAATCTGTTGAAAGCGCCATGAAATGCCCGGAGAGTTGCCTGTAGACTTTGGTACTGAATGACAGTTGCATGCAGTATATAGGGTGGTTGTCTCTGTATTACATTTTTTAAAAATTAAAATATGTTTTGGTTGTGAAAATTCATTTTCAGATTCCTGTAAGCATGAAAGTTTAGAAGAACCTGCGTATCTGTAGGTGAATAGTAATTGCAAGATGGAGATACAGTTGGATCTTTTTTTTTTCCATGGGAGGTATGCAAGTAGTCTCATCCCTTGGTGGTGTAAAAATCTGTATGTGTTATGTTTCCACACTCCAGGCAGTACAACTTATGCAACTAATGGCTACTCATAGCACAAAAAAAGAGGGCATGGAAACAAATATATGGAGTCAATATTATTATTATGTCTAACATGAGACTTATAACAGAAGACTTGGGTCCATTGATAAAAAGATGGATCAGCATTTGTTGATGTAAGATGCATTGCGACATGGGTGTTACTCTTTGGAGTCAATGGTTTTGGATGAATAAGCTAGAGACCAATGTTTTAAAAAGCCCCCGCCTAAGCATTGGGGGTGCCAAGGCCGCCTAGGCTCCGCATGCCTAGGTCTTGAGAGCGCCTAGGGAAGTGGATACCGTTTACGTGAACTACGCCTCTAGGTCTTGGTCGTGATTTCCTCCGTTAATGCCTCCAGATCCTCTAACCTCCTTCAAACTCCTCTGGCCTCCTCCACAGACTACAAACATCTCCTCCGACCTTCAGCAAAACCTACCCCACCACCACTTAAACAGAAAAAAAATCCTCCTAGGCCTAGCGCAAAGTTTGGCACCTAGTGGTACCTTGCGCTGTCGATAACATTAGCGTCGCCAGTTTGGCACCTAGTGGTGCTTAGCGCTTTGGATGACATTGATTGTAATTAAAAAAAGGGAAAACAACTAGTCCCTGCCTGGGCTCTAAGCCGGGGTCCGACGCCTAGGCCACTTAGCGCTTTCTGTAACATTGCTAGAGACACATGGTGTTCATTGAAGTTTTGCTCTATCGTGGATTGAGTAGACAGCTGTATATTTCCTCTAGTCATTTCATCTGTACAGTGCTCACAATAGTGTATTAGATGCTCATTGTAACATCCTGACTGTTGTTTGATGTGGTCACATATGGCATGTGACAGCACACGTACGTATACACCTCATAAACCTATACTGATAATTGGCATTATATAAGTGTTATGTTTGATATCAGTGTGTAGTTAGTCAATCACTTCCGTATTGCTTAATCCAATTCATAGTGTCTTGGACTCAGGTATTTTGGATTCCATTATGTGGATAAATTGTCTGTTCCTGGAAAGCTAGGTACGACCACTATTTTTCGGGAGAAATATGGAAATTCCATATTAAAAAGTTAAATGTTATAGGATGCAGCACTGAACATAGAAAACCGCTTTAAGAAATAAATTTTAAATGATTACATTAACAACTATGAAAAAGAAAACTATTTCTTTTAGTTACCAGGTTCTCAAATAAGTAAAATCAAAATAAGAGTTAATATGACAAAATTACTAGGAAAATAAAATAAACACATCTTGACTGGAAAAAAAATAAGTAAAATGGATGCCATAATTTTTTTTTTCTGGGAAGTTTGGTGACATTAATGAGTAGAAAACGCAGTTTAAGAGGAGGAAAGGAAGGGGGTTAAGTAGAATGAGGAAATAGAAGGTTAAGGAATAGATATTGTAGCCTTTGAGTTAAACAGGAAGGATATCAGATAAAAATCCAGACTCAATAGTGCTGCATATTCAATTTGTGCCGACATATTTATTCATATGGTCTCTGCTACCCTTCTTTAGCCTCTTAGAGAGTGCAGGTTTGCAAAATGTGATTTTCTGCTGAATATGCATTTGCAACCATATAGACACTTGTTTTGGACATTGAAAGGAACTATTATAGGCTTTGTAAGTAAGGCATTGAGATTGTAGTTGTGGAATAGTTATGGCTTTCTCTTTGTTTCGTCATTCTCTTTGAATATTGGTAAACTTCCTCTTCTTTGTGCTTGTATCTAAACCTTGACCAACAGAAATTTATTTCCTATTATGGATGAAAGAAACACTCAGCTGCTATATTGTCGCAAATTGTGTGCTTTCATATTTATCTTTACTGTCTCTTGAAAGTTTATCTTGTATATCCTCGAGGGAATAAGTTTTTCCATTTAATTTCTTCTTATTAGAGCAATTTTTATATTTTTGTTCATGATACTATGATACTCCAATTTTAGTGAAGAATAGTCAGATTAGTTATAAAACCTTATATGTATTGTAACACTTCAGTGAATAGTCTCAAAATGACTTTTAGGGTTTAGGTTGGAGCTTTGGATAAATAAATTGACCATTAATTCACTTTAGATGAGCTATTTTATTTCCTATTGTATTAATTTATTTTTACCAATTGTCCCAAAAATTCACAAAAAGATGGTTATGACTGTAGATGATAATAGGAAAATAAAATTACTTGCTGTCATTTATGTTTATGTAGATATTCGAATCACCTCTTTCCAGTGGTTACTCCTTTTATTTTCTCCTTTTGTCATGGTGGTGGAGACGGCTTGGAAGTGTAAGGGCATGTTTCTTTTTTTCTTTTGTGTGGTTGGTGGGAGGGCGGTGGGTGTGGTGTAGATGATTTTAATGTTTTAATGGAATTATGTGTGAGTTAACTTGGAATATTGAAGCCATTTTCTATCTAATCCGGTAATGTTAGCATCTAGCACCTTACAACTAAGTCCTTTTCCGAACTTTTAGTTATCATCTTGGTTATTTCATTATTATAACATCTGATTGATCCTATCATTTTGTTTGAAGATGCCAGTCTGGCATCTTTGCATATCTCTTGTCATTGTGACTTTTGTCTTGAAACCATCCCACAAATTTTCAAGTTTCTTTTAGTATGTTTGAAATTTTCTTTTTAGTATCAAGAAATCTTGTACAAAATAGGAATAGTATGAGGACAATGATTTGTACCAAAAAGATATATATGAATTGATTAAATTAGCTTATATGTGTGGGTAATGAAGTTCTCTTTTGTGATAGGTGGGGACAATATTTCAGTTACTACTGGCGTAGTCTCCCGGGTTGAGCCAACTCAGTATGTTCATGGTGCTAGCCAGTTAATGGCAATTCAGATAGATGCTGCTATCAATCCTGGGAACAGTGGAGGGCCTGCAATCATGGGTGACAAGGTAGCTGGAGTAGCATTTCAGAACTTATCAGGTGCGGAAAATATTGGGTAAGTAAAACATTGAGCACTCACTGGGTTTACATCAGTGTTTTTGCATCATAGCACATATTGGTTTATTGCTGGTTATTCCATCTAAATTTCTATGTAGTGCGTGCAGTAGTACTGATTAAGTGTAAGAGTTTTATCAATTCTCGACCAAAAGGCAACTGTATCGAAACATAAGACTAATGATGCATTCCTAAACCAAGAATAAATCTGCAAGTGTCACGTCTCAAACCAACAACCATATTAATCAGCTGGAAACTTAAGGTAATGACGGCCGTTAATAAGGGAAACTTGCGAAGGCCTACTCTAAAATAAACATATATTTTCATATTATTTATTTATACACCTATTTTTCTAGTCATATTCATAACATATATACATAATCAAATTTACATTGTTTACTCCAAAAGCTCCTTAGCTTGTATTAAAAGTTTTACTCAAACATACCAATTACAGAACTGTTTTGGGTGAGATCACTTTTAACCAGTATACTGGCTGACTAGGGTAGGTTGCACCTGTCAACTTGGTTTATGTTCTCTCGGCACGTGTCCCTTGGTACCCTAATTTGAAATGTTTATGTTTGGGCAAGCTTTTCAAGTGTTCACTAAATGACATGTTTAGTAATTATAAAATAAAAACTACGCATATAGTAATATAAATTATTGATATTTAGAGTATCGTGTTTGCTAATTTTATCCGAATAAAGATTTAATAATAAATTTGCAATAACTTTCAGCTTATGCACTTCGCACATAAAATAAAAAAATGTCACACCCTATCTTGACAACTAGACTGTCTACAATGGTGATTTGCCTACCATGATGCTCTGCCTTTTTATGTCACATCTCAACCAAACTACCTATATTGATAATTTGTTTGGTGTAGACTGCCGACGACAGGGATCAACTTATCTCCTAATCTCTCAACCAGACTGCCTTCTACAATCTATTTGGTCTGACTGCCTACAACAGTGATCTGCCCATTGTAACTCTTGATAAGTCTAGGGCTTGCTTAATTTCTAGGTGTAGATCATTAAACCAGCTGCAACATGTGTCATCCGTCAATATGCTTCAACTAGCATTTTAAAATCCACAAGTCATGTATAGCCTACAAAATCAAATGTTCAAACATGCAGATTAATGATTGTCAACTTATGTGTAGGACGACAACGAAGTATCTCGAATCACATCTTTGATATAGAAATTCATGTTTGTCTAGTTAATAGAAGATATATGGCATTCTTGTGAGAGAAATGAGTAAATCATAAATTTGAAAACATACATGCAAATCCACGTATAATTTTTTTGCTCTTCCAAGTTCGTTGCATATATTCTCGAGCTATAGTAGACTTTCCTAGTAGAAACACATAAATATCAACTCCCAACCCAATTCATAAAAGTATATCTATACAACAAGTCATTACGCCCTACTAGACTTTCCAACACATCACGAGATTATTCTCATTCTTTTAGATCCTCCTGACATTTCTCTTCATTTAAATTGTTTTTGGTGGAAGGTTGAAAGGCCTTTGGGAAATCACATTGTGTATCCTATGAATCTGAAAAGTAGTATAACTGCCGAATAGTGGGTATCATCGGCCATGCATCTCATGACTAGATCAGCAAAGAGCTGTTGGTGCTGCAGTTTTAATATCTGTGCACTATCTATCTTTCTTCTAATGTACTCATAGTGTTATGCACCCACCAACCAAACTCAAAATGAAAATTTCTCCAAGGAACACAATTCAACTCAGATGCACATGACCCGTTTTTGTTTAATGAATGTAGATACACATGTAACCATACCAGACTTTCCAACACATGATGAGATTATTCTCATCCTTTTAAATCCTCCCAGCATTTCTCTTTATTTAAATTGTTTCTGGTGGAAGTTTGAAAGGCCTTTGGGAAATCACATTGTGCATCCTATGAATCTGAAAAGTAATATAAATGCCAAATAGTGGGTATTATCAGCCATGCATCTCATGTCTAGACCGGCAAAGAGCTGTTGGTGCTGCAGTTTTAATATCTGTGCACTATCTGTCTTTGTTCTAATATATTCAAAGCGTTATGCACCCACCACCAAACTCAAAATGAAAATTTCTCCAAGGAACACATTTTAACTTAGAAGCACATGACCTGTTTTTGTTTAATGAATGTAGATATACATGGCAATACCAATATGGCATACATGTTTCTTCTTTCATTTTATTTTCTACAGTCGGCTTTTGAGAGCAACTCTAAATGATTAGATTGGCAGAAGATTGGCAAAATTCGGTGAATGCAATGCCATCCTGCTTATGAGCTACAGGCAGATGGTATTCTTTCCTTGATAAGTTGGAAGCCTCTTAGGGAATACTTATTTTATGCTTTGCAAGATTTTGGTATCTTGAGAACTTCTCGAGAGTTATCCTTGTGTAAAAGAGAGCTTATGTGAAGTGGTAGATGATAAAAAAAAATCCATGAAGAATTGCACTCCTGAGTCCTCTTCGTGGCATGAAGCAAGAATTCCGTTTATAAGTCCATTTTTATATTGATGGATAGCCATTCTCACTTGGTGTAAATATTCTGCAGATAAGCGCTTACAAACATTATGATACTTTCATATGCTATATGGATGTTATTTTTGGATGTATATTTTAGAACTTTATTTCGTCTACTCTCCATGAATATCATATATATTGGTAATGATGAGATGAATATATACTTTTCCGATTAATAAATAAGTTACAATATTTTTTCTCACACCTTAGATACTACAATTTCATTATACATTTTTCTGAGTTACTGTGACCTGTCTGAGCTTCATAAATTCAGTTCCAACGACAGATAATAGCTTATGATGTGTCGCTTCTGCCTTACGTTTATAACTGATTTAACAGCTAGAGGGGTATTAATATCATATGAAAATTTATTAACAATGTAACTTTCAAATGCTGCAAAAAAAAAAAAAACAAGGTCATTAACTGCTTTCATCATATTGGTCACTATGTCTTATTTTCTGTAGATATAACATACTGGTCCCTTTATTCATCACATTCTCACGATGTACTTATTTTTGTAGATATATTATACCAGTGCCAGTAATAAAACATTTTATTTCTGGAGTTGAAGAGAAGGGAAAGTATGTTGGTTTCTGTTCTCTTGGTTTGTCATGCCAGGCTACTGAAAATGTTCAATTGAGAGAACACTTTGGAATGCATCCAGACATGACTGGTGTTCTTGTAACCAAAATCAACCCTCTTTCAGATGCTCACAAGGTGCTGAGAAAAGATGACATTGTTCTTGGAACAGGTTAGTCAATTAAGCCTCTCTTCTTTATTCTGAATTTAAATCTCTCTTAAAATGCTTTTCTGGAAAAGTCCGTTACTTGTGTATTGTCATTTAAGAATTGACCATTGTTTTATTGCAGTTCCTTTCCGAAACAGAGAGAGGATAACATTTGATCATTTGGTATCTATGAAAAAACCCGGAGAAACAGCTCTCGTCAGAGTATTGAGAGATGGTGTAGAGCATGAATTTCAAATCACTCTTCAGCCAGTGAGTTGTGATTATTCTTTTCTCCCCCCTCTTAATTAAGTTTATTTAGATAGCTATAGTAACATATTAAGATAGCTGAGTCTAATTTATTTAGTTACTCATTTCTATCTGTAGCTCATGCAATTATTTTTATGTTTGTGATCCTTTTTGCAGTAACATGTACATTCTTTTAATCATGCAGTTACAACCTTTGGTTCCAGTTCATCAATTTGACAAAGTACCAAGCTACTATATCTTTGCTGGTCTTGTTTTTATTCCCCTGACTCAGCCCTACCTTCATGAGTATGGAGAAGATTGGTATAACACTTGCCCTCGTCGACTGTGTGAAAAGGCATTGCGGGAGTTACCGCAAAAAGCTGGGCAACAGATTGTTATTCTTTCTCAGGTATGTTTCTTTAAGCTCCTCTCCCTATTTACATACCTTTGACAATCTTATGCTTTTAGTTTCTCAAGATTTTTCTATCATCAATATCAGGTCTCAAGACTCCCTCTTTTTCCCTCTTTTTGATTCACACAATTGACTAGAAGCTTGAGTTGTGAGAATGCATAAAAAAATCTGTAGACTATACAACCATACGTGTCATCTGAAGCCTCTTGATAACCAGGAGCCATTAAACACTTTTTTGGCAACTAGAATGGAAAGTGTATGTGCTAAAATTCTGACATCCCTTTGGATATTATTTCTTAATTATATAATGGAAAACTTGATTAGGGTTGGACCGGTTGGTATTTGCTGAGAACCGCTACATCTAGATAATACATTGTACCTAACACAACAGCATCTTGATTACTGTAAGTAAACCGTCCCCTTTAGTTATTCTTTCTTGCTAATTGATTTATCTTCTTCATATCAAAAGAAATAATCTGAAAGGAACAAGGCTAGCATGACCACTTAGGAGGTATTTAACAAGTATATTCAAGGACCTTTGATGGGGATCAATATTAGGATAGTTTAGATTTAAATTTTAAATTACTTGAATTTGAAGATTGATGTATTGTTCGATTAGAATTATACTTTTAGGTTAGATTTAAATTTTAAATTACTTGAATTTGAAGATTGATTTATTGCTTAGTTAGAATTATACTTTTAGGTTAGAGTTGTTTTTGGTTGAGCTGTAGTGAGATTATAAGTTTATATGTATTTGAATTTTACTAGAGATAGGATCTCACACCCTATATATATGGGTTATGATTCTCATTGTAATTAGAGAGTATGAGAGTTGATTTCAATAAAAAACTTATAATTTTGAGAAGATCTTATAGAGTGATTCTTCATATATTTTGAGTTATTTTTTAAATTAGGTGTTGAGAGTGAATCCAGCTGATTCTATTGAATTTAGAGCTATTTTTCATTTGATCAAATTTCATCCATCCATTTCAACTCAAAATAAACCTCAAAACAAACTCATTCTCACAATAAAAAAGATTGATGATGTTATCCTCTCACACTCCCAGTTCATCTTCACGCGAGCAAAATGAAGTTAGCATCTGTGTCGCGAGCCAAAATACAAACACGACATCCAGTTCACCTTGCTCGCGTAGACAAAACCTGAAGAAATCCTCTCCTCCCTCCACTCTCATCCTTATGAAAGTGTCTGACAAATCAGCACCCGCATCCTCTTCATAGCCGTCCAACCTTGACATCAACTCTAGAGCCCGTTAACGTCCAAGCTCCTTCAAGATCACCACCCCTATTTGAATCATCTACAATTTCGAGCAATCTTCAAAATGAGACCAGAACTATGTTTGAACCTTAGTTCATGTAGTTAATTAAGATTTTGAATATGCGGTTTGTGTTTGGTGAGGATTCGAAACTCGAAATCTTTTGTATGGTTTAATTCATAGGTATTTAACATGAAATTTAACCATTCTATTTAGCATTGGTACTAGAGTGACCAATTTTAGTTACGGGGATGACCAAATTAGACACCTCAATTAGGAGGTTAATCAACACTGGGGACGAATATATCCAACCACTTTAGGATGGAAATTGATAGGGTACAATACTTAGAGACATACATAGAGGGAGAAACCAACACTATAGAGTAGAGTATACACCTCTTAGTGGATATGACAGTAGAAATATGATGATAGGAGATATAATGATATAAGGTATGATGATATGATCATAGGAGACACAAGGAAAGGTATTTAGATGATGCTAAACTAAAGAAATATGATAGAAGATATTTGTTTGATATGGAATACCATATTGATTGTTATGATATGTCTGAATCTTGAATGGTAGGTCAACCAAGATGAAACTATTCAACCTTGCTAAAACTTACTTGACTTTGTAGAGATGTAGTTAAGAGTGTTCAAGGCAAATTGCCTTTATAATTATGAGAAGAGATAAAATAAAATTGGAGAAGTATTTGCCCATTTTCGATGTGACTCAACTTTTGGACCGGCTAAGCATCACACATCAATGAAACTTGTCTTAATGGTCCGTTGTAAGGTGAAAGAAGCCCTATCTTTACTGCTTATATGTTTCGTACAGATCTTAGGCAAATATTAGGAAGGGGATGATCCCAAGTACCATTAATTTGCTGGAGCATGCTTATCAGATCACTCATTTTGAGCATTATCTTTTCACCTCTAGCTCTAGGAAGTTCCGTCCCAAATCGGAAAGTCATAAAAGAAGTTAGTTGACAATAAGATTAAAGTTGATAATAAGACTAATCCAACCTAAGGAAAATTAGTTCCATAAAGTTTACAGTCCATTAGGTATTTTAATTGTCAAGGTTTAGGATATTTTACCTATCAATGTCCCTAGTAAGAGCTTATGACTAGGCATAAAAGACCGAGTTATGGAAGAAAATGACCTAGAAGAAAATTTTGAACCCCCAATTGGAGCTAGCAAAGCTGAAGAAAATTTACAGTACACTTTAGCTACCGCTTTAGGACTTACGCATGCGATGATACCCATGAGCAAGAGACCTAATAATAAACCATAATAGTCCCATGAGCTGCTTAAAGTTTTTTGTAAATTTACTAGTTTAGAGTTTGAGAATATGTAATCTAAATTGACACGGTGTATGAAGTACTCAAAACTAGCCAAATAGGACTTCGAAAGATTTGACACTATCTTCAAGATAGATCTTCAGAATTGAGTGTGCTTGCGCCTATTGATTTCGCTCATATACCTTTAACTCATAGACAGTGATTTTGAACACATTTGCATAAAATGTGTATGATTTTTATGTTAAGACATAGCGAAAATTAGCTAAAAATAATGAAATTATAAATTTGCAGTAGATAACTCTAACCATTTGTTGGAACTTGTAGCTAATGAGTGGGCTTTTAGTTTCAGTTCGTCCTAAGAGATTCCCTCTAAGATTTATGGTGAAACTTCACACTGCAAACAAAGTCTTATCGACTTGCTAGATGGTGGGAACGATAGCTTAACGAATTAGACATTCCAAAAAACATGGCTCTAAACCTAGTATTCAATATGGAGGATCTCGTTTATATCACAAGCTTATGAATTTTGCAAATTTTGATGCCGCCATTGCTATACTACCAATTCACTTGTTTCCATCACTTACCATCTTTCTAGATCAATAAATTCTTGTTGATGTATTTGCGTCGGCTGTTGATGACAACATGCGCTCGTTCAGGAGTGCATACACTAGCTTTAGATGAGATCAAACAACTCGATGCACGGTAATATCATCACTTTGATTTCCAAGCCATGGAGAGTTGATAGGGGGATCAATATCAGGGTAGTTTAGATTTAAAATTTTCAAATTAGTTAAATTTAAAATCTTACTTAACGTTTTATTAGAATTTTAATTGTAGGTTAGAGTTGTTTTTTTTATTTTGAGTTGTAGTAGGATTAGAAGTTTTAAATTTATTTGTATTTAGTAGAGATAAGATTTTACACCCTATTATCTGCATGTGCGTTTGTGCGCCCGTGTAGGGGGGTGCATGCATGCGTGCGCAGGGCAGGTGGGCGGGCGAGCGCTTGCATGCATGTGTGTGAGCGAAGGTGGGTGGGCAGGTGAAATTAGGGAATATGAGATTTAATTTGAATAACAAATTTAGAGTTTAGAAATTGTGGAGTGATTCCTCGTGGGCATGAAACCATTGTTTTCTAGATCAGGTCTTGAGCACGAATCCAACACATTTTAATGAATTTAGAGTTATTTTTCCTCAGATTAATTCTCATCCAACCATCTCAAGTTAAACTTCATATCAACCTTACAATCAAGAAAGATTGTTGACATATCCTTTCGCATGCTAATTGCATCTTAGAGGTGGGGTGTTGGGGGGGGGGGGGAGGGGGTGGGGTTGAACTATCGTGTCTAACGTTTATGAGGAAGAAAAAAGAACAGGAAAACCACTGCCAGTTCATCTACTTTGAGCAGATGAAACCCAAAGAAACTTCCGCCCGCTCTCTCATCCACGTGAGAATGCCCCGACAAACTGGCTCCTGTATTCCCACCACGGCCGTTTGTTCTCGGCATCAACTCCAGAGCCCTTCAAAATGACTTCAACAGACCTTTTGAACGAGACCATTACATCTGCTTGTTACTAGACCATTACATCCGCTAGTTGTCAATCAAGGTTAGGAATTTGAGGTTTGTGTTTTACTTGTGTATCCAAGCTCGAAAAGTCAAAATCTTTTGTATGGTTTAATTCATAATTACTTAATTCATGAAGTCATCGCTCTTTACGGTTCTGCATACTGTGCAGGACTTCTTTCACTGCCTTAGGTCTATTCGAATTTATCTTTATACCATTTTCAACTACTGTAGGCATTTAGGTTTTATTGTCAATTTATAATTTTATTATCTGTAGTTCTGTTTTCATTGTTCTCTAGTGATAATTTTGCGCTTACATCATATTGAGTTATGTAGAATATCTGTGTAGACACCTTATCGATTTTGTACTGTGTCAGACTTCTACCTTTGTACGCATGTCCTTGGAACCAGATCTAAGGTCGGGAATATGCAATGTGGTTTATTGTATCATGAAAACAATACTATTTCATGCAAACAAATTATTTGAAAAGGATTTGGCTTGAAAGCAACTGTTCACTTGCCATTTTCTTGAAAATTTGACTCTTAAGTTTGTTCTTGGAGATGTAAAACCTTTCGTTATCATTGAATTCTAGGTCTTGATGGATGATATCAATGCGGGATATGAGAGATTATCCGAGTTACAGGCAAGTACTCGTACTCCAAATTCCACCTGCAGTCTTAAGTATCTTAATTCCTGCCAGTCATCATCAAATGTTGGCTAAATCTAAAAGCATGTAATGATGGTTTGCAGGTGAAGAAAGTGAACGGCATGGAGGTTGCAAATCTAAAACATTTGTGTGAGCTGGTGGAAGGTTGTAGAGAAGAATGCCTACGATTTGATCTGGACGATGAAAGAGTAGTGGTTTTAAATTATGAAAAGGCCAGAATAGCCACCTCACGAATTCTGAAGCGGCACAGGATACCATGTGCAGTGTCCACCGATCTTCTGGGAGAAGAAGAAACAGACAGAGAGATGAAGGCGGCATGCTCCAATTGACTGTAGAAGCTTTGTTTTTCTATTGTCTTTGTTGTGTTAGATTGATTGATAGGTGTAGTCTACTAATCTTGTCTCATTTACCAACGATAAAAATTTTTTCTCCCCACGTGTGATGACGATCTAAGCATCACTTAGTTCTATTTGTCCTTGTCTCCGTTGAAATTTGATATGAACAATTATTCACTGTATATTTATGACAAGTTTCAATACGCGCACACTTAAATCAAGGTGGTTATGATGGTGCAGGTAGAGGAATTGCATATGGTGCCGAGGAGAAGAAGCCCAAATTTGGGAAAGCTATTTCGTCCTTGGGGAAGCCTCTCGCACAAGTAATTTTCTTCTAACTTTTCTGCCTATGTTTTGGTTTGATTACCGTTGAAAGTTTTAGCTTATGGTGTTTCTTGTGAGTGGTGGTTCACAAAGCAAACCGCTCCGTATGAAGTTAAGTTAATGTAAGCTTTGTGAATCTTCTGTACATGGACCTTCAAGTTCTTATGAACTTCGTAAGCTTACCATCAACTCACGATGCCCTTTAATACAAATCTCAGGCAGACATTAGAACTGATATTTTTTGTACACATTCCTGAACTGTTTGATTAGGTTTCCTAGTTTTTGTTCTAAGTCATCATCAGAAGTGATAAAACCAGCCACTTCCATTTCAATTTTATGTAGCTGAGGTCTACATATTGCATTTTCTGATTTTTCCGATCAATATCAAGCTCAATATTAAGCTGCAACGTAGCTAATTAGTTGTTAAAGAATCTGAACTGTGATGTTGATTTCTGTTGTGTAATTAAACTCGGTCGCAATATTACTTGAATTTGAGCTGATTAATTTGAGGTTTATCCATAAGAAGCAAGATAATATAGCGGAATCTCAATTCCGATATATATTTCTTATTCTTTACATTTTATCGAGGAAATGAATGTGCAAAGGGAAGTCACAGGAAATGAACTTGTCACCTATGAACTTCTTTTGTACAAGATAACGATCATCTTCATTATACTCCTCTGGTTGCAGTGACAGAATTGATCCCTTGGTTGATGAGCTTATTGAGACGACCAAAAAGCAACTTCAAAAGAGATTGAAATTTTTGGTTTGTTGATTTCACTCATTTGTGCCCCACAGGCTCCATGTTATTGAACTGATAAAAATGCTAGGTGATACGCTTGTTAATATATATTTATTATGTTTTTAATTGAACAAAAACCCTTGGTACCCCCTTGGCACATAGACCCTTGTAGTACCGTGATTTAGAGTATATTATCCATGTGGTTTTATTTTGGAAGATAAATCAAACTACTTGGACAATAAGTTTCAAAATCAAACTACATGGATAATAAATTCCAAAGGTCGATAGCACAGGGCTGCAATATTTCCCTTAAAAACCATTGATAACAAATAACAAATATTAACTATTGTTTATACGCTTTATCCTCGGTGAAATTTGGTAGACATGATCCGTTGATGAAATTAGTTTAAAAAGAAAAAAGAAAAAAGAAAAAGAAACATTAAAGAAAGGGAAAAAGAAACATCCACGGCGTCTATCTGCAGAAGGAAAACTGAGGGGAAACTTCCAAAATTTGATACTACAGGGAGGTCTATGAACAATTAACCCCTATCGTTATAGCTATTGAAGCTTAGCTGTGTATTGGAGTTTGGATGATTTCTCATTTTATGAGTGACAAAAGATCAATTGATTTAATGTGGGACTTGTCATGGGCACACAATTTTGATTTTCAAATACGAACAAAACAGGATTATAGAATTTGCTTGGCTCTATTGGTGAGCATTATAATCCTCTTGTGAAAAGAGGAACACCGCGATAATTCAAGTACTCAAATCTTGAATTTCTCCGAGTAGAACTGAACAGCTTTGGGTTTACAATTGTTTGTTATTTATTTGCATTGATTAAACGCTATAATCTGCTTGCTTTCTCCTTGTCACTGACAAGTGTGCCCTGAGTGGAATCCTATTTATACTCTTTCAACTATATTGGCAGAACGGGTGCCAGCCAAGTTATTAGTAGCTAGGTAGCTAAGCCAGTAGTAGTTCAGTTTAGGTCATGAACGGATTTGGGTATTCTTCCCTATCAAAAAGTAGTGGCTATCAGAAAGTAGTGGAGTGATAACAACTTTTGATCTCAAACGATTATCTAGTGGATGATTGTGTTTCACTCGAAATTTAATATTCACCATACCTCCATGAATTATATAGACAATCAATGGTTGTGATAAAATAGTGGTTACTCCATAATTATTTTATGTTTTGTTTTGTTTTTTTTATGTTTTTTATTGCATTGGAGATGATACAAATCCTAATTGAACAGTAGTGAGATACATTTAAGCAATAAATCTTGATTTATTTTCAAAATTTTTTAATCAAGAAGGCATTATGTGGTCAAAAGCAACATGTCTCTAGTTAGTTAAAATTCAAATATAGCTCTGCATACAAATTCTCATATAACGGAGTCTAGTGGATTTTTTTATTTTCTAATTAATGAACAATCTAGTGTTATTTTCTAATTTTTGGGGGCTTCTTCAGTGTCAGGGTTTATTTTGGGTCTTCATCATACTAGTCCTCCACAATATAGTTGCTGACGAGAAAAACTTTAATCAATATTTTGGGAACAATCTTGAGTTGGTTGGAAAAACTGAGAAGACCCAAGATAAACCGTGACACTGAAGGAGCCCCAAAAAATTGCCACTTCCCCTCATTTTTTGATGTTTGGATCGTAAAAGAAGAAGGGGAAAAAAAGAAAAAGAAAAGGTGCGCTCTCTAATATCTCCAAAATTGGCAGAAACCTCATTTTATCAAAATAAATAAATAAATAAATCTGAGAAGGGAATCTACTCACACACCACTTACTTTCTTCTTGTGTCAATTTGAATCAAATTAAAAAAAAAGTGGTGGAATTTAATTGTACCCAATGTTTTTTTGGCGAAACAGACAATAGAAATACTTTTGCATGAAATTTAAAAAACATTAAGAAAAATGTTTTTTTATATGGAAACATATTTTCTTACGAAAACAACCAAATAGACCATAAATAGCTGCGCAAATATGCTCACAAGCAACCCGAAAGCTCAAAGAATAATAAAGTTCATATTCAATATCAATCCTGAAACATAAATATCTCAACCACAAAATATTGACAATCATCTCCATGAAATCTCAGTACATCCAGCATAATTATTCAAATCTCAAAACCACATAGATAATAATAACAGAAAAAAAAAGTAAATAAAATCTCAGTAACCTAATACATTTAAGACCGTTTGACAAAAATAGGAAGAACACTACAATATCGACTAGAAACTAAAGATTTGTCGCCGAGAACGTTATCGATCTTCTTTCTCTTCTTCTCTTGCACCGACGACAACAACTGCCGGAGGCCAACTTAATACCACAGAAACCACAGCGGTAAATAATGATCCGACCCAGAATCTTGCCACAACCTCGGCAGCAAACATAGCCGTGATCTTGGTCGAGAAGAGGATTGCAGTCATCCAGACAATGAGAACACCAAGCCATCGTCGTTGTCGCACATCAGGTTACGGAATCAAGTGAGGATATACGTCTTGAAAACGATAGAGAGGGAAATCGGGAGTAGAGGATTCAGGTAAACAAGTAGTTGTACGTGTTTGGGCTTTTCCTTTCCTTTTCTCCCTAGGAATAGGGGTTACTCTTTCTACGCGTTTCGGGCTTCCGGCCTTTTGGGGATTTCCTTGAGGCGTAGTAGGATTTTAATATGCGGGTCCGACAAGTATATATATATATATTTTCTAGTGTGTAATTAGGGAAAGCTTGGGCCCCAAGTTTCGGAAATTGGGTTCCAAGAAACCTACCTCATCATGCAAGTCCTCCACAATATAGTTGTTGACAAGAAAAACTTTTATCAATATTGTAGTTATTAAAATGCTGAAGTGCACTTAAATACTGTAAAGTTTTCTTGCTCTGCGTCTTAATACATCACAAGTTGTATTTTGCGGCATAAAAATAACATAGGTTGTTAAAAAAAATTAGCACGTTAATAACATTGATAATATAAACGGAAATTTTTTCATCTGAATGTTTCTCCAAGATACTTATGTGCATGCTAACCTTAGAGGATTTTAACTATTAGTATTTGTTAAATTTGCTATTAAATCTGTCAAATTTGTTTTTCAAACTTATATTAATTCTACTTTAACATAGAATTGGAATATATGTAATGATAAATTTCAACAAATATTAATCGTTAAAAAACTTCAAAAGTAGCATGTAAGATCATAGAGAAATATTCGGGCAAAAATCTCATGTTTGTATGATCAAGAGTACGAATATACCACTCTTTTTTAAAAAAATTATGATATTTTTGTACCACAAAATATGATTTGTTGTATATAAGCGACATAGCGGGGACGATATTTAAGCATTAGAAAATTGAATGCCTCATCTTTCGTTTGGCAAATGAGACTAATTAAGGATGTGAGGTGTGTTTGATAACTCTACAAAACTGGTTTTAGTGGATATAACTTTGGCCCCAAAATCAGACTGACAATAGCTGCGCCAAAGTTGAAAAAGTCTTCTTCAGTTCAAATTCTAGCATTAAAACCAGTTCTATTCTAGCATTAAAACCAGTTCTATTCTGATCTAACCTCTACTTAGACCAATTTTGGCCTAGTTAAAGAACAGTTAGATCAAGTCTAATTTTCTTTTGTAGTTTCCAAAGGGAGAGGCTATATATATAGTTAAGAGTTAGTAGAAGTATTCAGAATTTGACTTAGTTCTAGTTTGACTCGGCAATGGAATTCTTGATTTTTAGTTGTATGAGCTAATAGCTTTGTGCATAAGGGTGCTAAACCGTATCCGTATCCGAGAAAATATCCGTAACCGTATTCGTTAGGATACAAATATGGTTACTCAAATCTATAACCGATAGGATATGGTTACGGATATGGTTTTGTAGTGAAATATCTGTATCTGTATCCGAAATATCCGAATACATATACTCTTACGATAGTTTCGATTATTTGATTATGGATTTGTGATAATGTTGATGATCAAGATGTCTAATCTTAACTTTTCAGTTATAATGGACATATCAACGAACTCTTTTGTATCACATCAACTATGTTTTTCTCAATACCATCTAGTTTTCTCATATCTGTTTTGTTTCCGCATGCATATCCGCTTATATATCCGCATGTATATCCGTAACCGTATCCGATTTTAGTGGATATGGTTATAAATTTTCCTTACCGATGTATATCCGTATTCGTATCCGTATCCGAGATGGGTAAGCGAATATGGATATGGTAAGCATCATATCCGAGCCGTATCCGGACTGAATTCACCCTAGAGCCTTTGTATGAGACGAGAAAGATATTGTCATTTATTTTATATGATAAGTGGTTAGTTCAGTTAATCATGGCATCTACTACTTTAAACTTTAAAGTAAACATACTACGGTAAAATTTCAAATAATAAACTATCCATGCTACAGTAAAATTATGAACCTCCAAAACACTGCATACTAAGTAGAATTTTGTGCCTAAAACACTATTTATTTATGCTACAATTAAAATTTTGAATCATATGATAAATAATGTTCATTATAGTAAATGCATTGGACTAATTGCCAAACTTAGTAGAGTAAGGGGTTGTTTGGTTCATTTCCTAGAATTCTAAGTTTGGGAAATTTCTCATGGGATATAGGTTGTGAAACTCATTTCTATGTTTTCAAATTCATTTCATGACTTTTTAGAAGGAAATGAGTTTCCTTAAATTTGGGACCCATAACACTATTGTCTTACTAGTGGATAGGTCTCACATGCACAACATCTCTTTTTTTCCTCTCAACCAAATGCAAAAAAATAAAATCAAACACCTTCACATGGTGTGTCTGTTGTTTTAATTTCCTTTTCTTAGTTTCTCAACCAACCAACCAGCCCCTTAAAAAACACAACAAAAATAATGAATAAGACTAATCCTAATTAGATGTGCAAAACAAAATACTCAGGTCCTGATAGGAGAATATTCTTGCCGGAGGGTCTTTTGGACCGGTCGGAGGTGCCTGAGTACCTTAACGGAGAGGTCCCTGGAGAGTAAGTTCTCTTCTTACTAATTAATTATAACCTGCTTGTGCTCAAGCAAGCTCATATTGTATGTAGTAGAAGATTTAGAAATAATTAAGTATTTAGAAAGAAATTTAATAAATCATATGTATCGTATCCATGAATTGCTTGATTTCTAATCTTTGTTTAAGATCCAACTTGTAAAATGTCCAGTATTCCTCCCAACAGCTCATATCAGAGCTCAATTTTGACACATATAGCTTTGATTGTCCTGTGTGCAAAACTCACCACTCAAGTGTCAATTCATCACAATCATTGGTTGTCTACTAGGGGACGGTTATAATTCATTCTAATATAAGGCTCATCATCAGCCCCATGAATTGTGCTCATCGTAATTTATACTAAAAAAGAAATCTCAACCATCCCCTAGATAATCGAGGATTGTGATACAAGTTAGTGGTTTCTCTATTACTTTTTGATAGTAGATAGGATCTGAATGCATCGATTTAAACCAAACTATTACTTTTTGATAGTAGATAGGATCTGAATGCATCGATTTAAACCAAAAATTAGGATTGTGATGATCGGACGGTGCTTACAATTGCCTGCTTAGGGACTCCCAACAGTATGAACGATTAACTATTGGATTTACAACGTGATGATGTCCTTTTATTTTTGGCAGCTATGGTTATGATCCTTTTGGTTTGAGCAAGAAGCCGGAAAACTTCAGCAAGTGAGTATTTGCTCATTCTTAGAAACTCAACAAATAGCCAAATCAAATATAGCAAAGCTTAAAAAATGCATAACCTTCTCCTAGATACCAAGCATATGAGCTCATTCATGCTCGCTGGGCAATGCTCGGAGCTGCAGGCTTCATCATCCCTGAAGCCTTCAACAAATTCGGCGCTAACTGTGGTCCTGAGGCTGTCTGGTTCAAGGTATTTTTAACTTGGATGTCTTAAAATTATGTTGATTCATACATTAGACCTTTTGTTACATATTTCAGCTAATTAATATTTTGCTTGATTTGTTGATATATTTCCAGACTGGCGCACTTCTCTTAGATGGGAACACATTGAACTACTTCGGAAAGAACATCCCCATCAACCTTATCCTCGCGGTGGTCGCTGAGGTCGTGCTCGTCGGAGGTGCTGAGTACTACAGAATTATCAATGGATTGGTAAATTCTAAGCTCAAATCAGCACCTGAAATTAGATTGAAAATAATTTGCTTCAAATTATATATATTATAAGTTTTATACTGATGTCCCACACTGACTGTGGTAATATTATGATCTGATAAGCATTTATTGAAAATGAACACCCCCCAAGATTTTTTTTTGCATACGAAACAAAAAAAATAATGGAAACAATGCCTACAAATATCTTTCAAGATGGTCATCACAGTAGAAAATGAGTATGGCATGAATAATCATAGCTGATACGTCTCACATTCTTGCAACGCTACTTTAACAGTAAAGATTGCTGATCACGAGTCGCCTTACTAAATATTTTCGGATTTCTTGTAGGATTTGGAGGACAAGCTTCATCCCGGAGGCCCATTCGACCCGTTAGGGCTCGCCAACGACCCCGACCAAGCTGCGATCCTCAAGGTGAAGGAGATCAAGAATGGGCGACTGGCCATGTTTGCGATGCTAGGATTCTTCTTGCAGGCCTATGTCACAGGAGAAGGCCCTGTGGAGAACCTCACATCTCACCTCAGCGACCCCTTCGGAAACAATCTGCTCACCGTACTCTCCAGTGGAGCTGAGAGAGTTCCTACTTTGTAAACTTCCTCTGAATTGAATTGAACTGTTGTTTTTTAGAGACCCATGTGTTGTAAATTATAATGAGAAGATTAAAGGCTATGATTCGTGTAACGGTTTTCTGGATTAAGGTGTTATCAGTCTGAGAAATTGTTTGTTTTATTATTGTTTAGGATTTATGTTGACATATTAGTAATATATAGGGACTTATTTGTAAGTTGTGTGTAATAGCCTGAAAAAATATATATGTATAAATAGATAAATAAAATAATAAAATATTATCAAATCTTGTGGCGGAGTTTTTCTCCACTGCTTAACATAGCGGTATTCTTTTCACCGCCTCCCAAAGGTATATAAGGAGAGGAAAGTGGAGAAATTCAGGTTAAAAGAAAAAGAAAAAAAAAGAGAGAGAGGAAGAAGAAGAAGAAGAAGAGGAAGCAGATAGGGAAAGTGGAAATCATCCCAAGGTATAATCTCTTTCTAACTTTTATAATAAATCTTAGTAAATTGAATCAAAATCGAATGAATAAGGGGATTTATTTGTTATGAATATGAAGTTAGGAATCTAGGGTTTGCAAATGTTTTTTCTTCTTCTCTTTTGTGTTTAGGATACATGAAACAAAAAAAAAAGAAGAAAGAAAAGAAAGGAATAGACTAACCCTAGGTCTCGTCGTCGGCAGGTTTTGATCGCCGGCGGTTTCCTCGTCGCCGTCCTGCAGCCATGGCGGAGAGAAAGAGAGGGGGAGAGAGAGAGAGACAGAAGAGAGAGAGAGAAAGAGAGAGAGAGAGGAGGAGAGGAGAAGAAAACCGAAAAAAAAGAAGAAGAACAGAGGAAGAGGAACGGAAAAAAAAAGAAGAAAAAAAAAGGAAAAGGAACAAAGAAAGGAGAATGAGGAAGATGATCAGTTGGGTAATATTAAAGGAATGAATTTTATAAAAAGACCCTTAGTTATTTTGACCTTGCTTATAAAGCCCTCTTGAGTGGAGAATAGAATTTTGTGACCTAAGAATTCATTCTAAGTCCCTAGAAGTCACAAAATTTTGTAAGTAACCCTAACAGAGAAAGCTAAAATCATATATGAATAGAATAATTACATATAAACCCCTGTCTTATCATAAATTGCTAGAAAGTCCAAAAGCTAGTATATGAGAGTTATAAAATTTTGATAAATTGCTAAAATTAACAATAAACTCATATGTACTATAGAATTTAATCATTATTGATTATATTTGAGTTTATTAGACTCTAGATTATGAGTTGATTTACCTATATTATATGTTTGTTCTGAATCAATAATTAGTCATATATCTTACATTATAGGTTCTGGTTGATATTCGGGAGACTAATATTTCGAGAATATCGTGACCACTAGAGGTGAGTTCATTTCTCACTAGTATTTTATAATATGAAATTGCATGAGTTTATATTTGATTTATCTTGTGATAAAAATAAATAAATAAATAATATGTCTTTTCATGTATATAAAGATTTGACCTATTTCTGTTGTGGTCTATCCTATAATACGATGTTAGCCTCGTACCATATATCAAAAGCTAATTTGATCTTTATGTAAAATATGAAAAATAACTTTGGCTCTCGTGCAATTTTCAAATAATTGTGGACTTTGTTATATCTGAAAGTTTTTGATGAAATATTGGAACGTATTTCAACAGTTTAAAGGATTCAAAGATTTTTCGTGGTTTAGTATCTGATAAAGGAAAAGTAAATATCCGTAAACTGTTTTAACAGAAATGAGAAGTTTTACCTTGTCAATTTTATTTGAAATATCTGTAAATTCTGATATGCAAAGTACTTCTCATTTGACATGTGAGCTTGATGTTTTCAAACCCTCAAATAGTCCACTATGGATTTGTTCTTCCTGCCATATGGTGAATGCACCTTTATTTGACCCTTCTGTATTGGCCTTGGCCCTTCTGTATTGGCCATTCTGAAATCTATTCTGGCCCCTCTGTATTTGGCCGGTAGCCTATGGCAGTGTTAGGTGCATTCGGTTCCCGGAAATTATCTGTTATCTGATGCGGTTATGCATTCCCTTGCTACTGGGCTAAAATTCGTAGCCTTAGTGTGAACTATGGGGTGACTTTTACATTCATGAAATACTCATCGAGAAATAAGATTCTGATAATTGACTGTGAAATTCTCCAGATGACAAAGCTGCAGGATCAGCAAACACACACTGCTTTATCTGATGAGTTGAAGTCCTTGAAGTAGCAGCTGGTCGAGACAGAGCAAGTTGCGGTGAAGACTTTAGCCGCCAATGAAGAGTCCATTAGAGCCGAGTTGCATGATGAGCTTAGGCAAGCTTATGATGAGAAGCTGTCTAAGTTTAGTCAGCAGATCAAGAAAACAACAATTCTCTGATTTTGTAAAATTTAGTAGTTCTTTTCCTTCTTAATTGTTTACCTTAATTAAAAAAGGGTTTGATTCCAAGAAATTTCATAGTTTATTCAGTTGCACATGAGAAAGAAAATATAATTGTTGTATTTTTTCTTAAAAATGACAATATTACGATATTTGGATCGTATTCTGCTATCTGTGAATTTCTCATGCAAAACTTGAAATTTGTTAATTTCTGGGAACTATTCTTATTACTATTTTGTTAGTTATCTAGGAACTCTAGTGGGAAATGTTCTCACTGAGTGCTAGCTCATTCCGTTATTTTATATATTTTTTCAGATCCGGTGTAGCTTCCTATTAGCCGACTTTTGGTTTGAGCTTTTGGCTGAGAGGCGTGAAATGGAGAGCTTCTTCTTTTTGATGTTATCTTCAGCACAATTTGTTTTGTTTTGTAAAAATGTTTATAACGGTGAGCTTGTGGGCTGTAAGTACCAATCATATATATAGTTGCTCTGATTTCTATCATCAGCAGGTTTATGAATATTTTTAAAATAAACTATGTGATAGCATGTCACGTTGTGCTAAAGGAATGAACTCCCTTAGACTTGATGCTACAACTTCGAATATGTAGACTTCCCTATTGTTATGGGAATAGGCTACCCAGCAACGTGTTTTAGACGCTGACTTATCCCTATTTAGGCTTCGGGAATAGTTGCTCTGATTTCTATCATCAGCAGGTTTATGAATATTTTTAAAATAAACTATGTGATATGAATTGCTAGGCTTGACTCGTGCATAAAACTTGTCTCGTGCACGGGTCGCTGCTGTCGCGTACTGCGTATTTTATGAATTTCCGCTGCAGATTCGGGGCGTGACATTGTGTGTTGTAGGGGCCTATATAAGCCCAAGCTATCTCAGCAATGAATTAGGGTTTCTAATATAATTCTACTTGGTATCAGAGCCTCCACCAAAACCCTAGCCGC